TTTAGAATACAATATATAACAACATGTAATCAAAACAATAGGGCCAAGTAATCCATGGTGTACTGTCTGCCAATCAAGTCAAAAAAATAAAATGGAGTAAAATTCTTAAAATATTAAAAGCCAGTGTCAGTTTTACACCATAAGGCATTTGAGATCACAGAATCTTTTATGTATTTAATCAAGTAAAATTATATCAAAGGGAAATGAAAACAGCCCATTGAGTCATACAGAATTGAAGAAAGTCTTGGGCTTTATTGAAATTATCTGAAACTATTATTTAAAAATATTTGTAATAGGTTAAAAGAAATTTCTTAAATTAATGTAAAATTAAAGAACTATATTCTGAGAACAGTATTCCACATGGCAATACATGCATAAATGACTGAAAAACAAAAAAAGATCAGATAACAATCTTAAGATTCTTCTAAGTTTAGGTATGCTTTAAAAATTTTGTTAACTGTGATGAAGATACCACTAACAATGCAATACAAAAGATGACGACATGCCTCTCCCAAAACAGCATAAAGGAGAGTTTTTCATGAAGCAATGATATCAACCTGAACTTTGGTTATTAAAGTGATATTAAGTCCCACAAAGGCATGGACCAAGCACAGTGCTCAGCAAAGCTGGTTGCCAGTTGAGGCACCAAGAGAAAACTGGGGTGAGTACAGAGTTGATCCATGCAAATATGCCACACAAATACATTTATTGTAGTTAAACAAAAATTAAAACAAAGTTGCTGGAACAATAGCAAGAGCTAGAAAAGGATCCTTTAAGTTAATTCATTGAACCAACAAATATTTATTAAATTTTTACTTTTGATCACATGCTAAAACCTTGAACCAAGACAAACAAGGGTTTCCACTTTTGTTGGAGGTGAGATGACTAATGAAAAATTATAGAAATAAAACAGGGTATTTTCCAAAAAGCAGGGAGTAAGACTGATATTATTACAGAAGGTTATGATAGAGGCAGCTCTCTTGCTATTTTAAATTGAAAATGCAAAGGGGAAAGGGAGAGAAATCTGTCTCTTTAAAGTAAGGAGTTATGCATCTAGACATATCAAAACAGCCAACAAGCTTCCTACAAAAGGGCTAGAGATTTTATAAAAACTTCCTCTGTAACATTCTGCTTCTACTTAATAGGATGCAATATATAGTACTAAAACAATTATTTCCATAGTTTAAAAAAAAATATGTGTTCTCTCCAAGAAAGCTACCTGGTTGAGAAAGCTCTGGCTGAGCTATTGCATCTTCCCATTTTATGAATAAAATAGAAACAAGGCTTTAGAAAACACAGACGAAGGAGTATTTACCATGTTTAACAGAACTAAATTATTTTTGTACAATTTTGTTCTATCTCTGAAGCAAAGCAAAACATCCCATGCCAAATTCTTCAATAAGCCCTTTAAGATTGTTTTCCAATGACAAGAACAAATGAGTACTGTTAATGACTTTCAGATTTAAAGCAATAATTCTCACATAAAACAAAATTTTCCTTAAGATTTGCCAAACTATTCCTCTCTAGACAAATTGCATCCTTGCGCTAAGAATTTTTCACTATATTGTCCAGGCTGACTACTTTTTTACTTTGGAATGCAAACTAACAGAACAGGCAATATTTCAAGGGATGAGGAGTGGGGAGCCAAGAAGACATTTTCTATTCAATCTACACTGAATTACAGATACATTTGGCAGTATGAAAACAAGGGTTTTAGTACAATGGTGCATATCTCTAATCCCAGTGGCTTGGGAGGCTGAGGTTCAAAGCCAGCCTCAGCAACTTAGCAAGACCTTGTTTCAAAATAAAAAGGCTCAGAGGTTAAGCACCTCTGGGTTCAACCTCTGGTACCAAAACAACAACAAACAACTTAAGGGTTTTATCACCACATAAACCTATACCTTTTTTTAAGCATCACAAAGAATGGTTGATTTGGATTCTTACTTTTAGCAGAAAAAAACACTATCAGTTTAGACTACCTGTCTCATGTTGAGAAAGAGTCATTACCTCTTCTCTATACACTATAGATTCTTTTGGTTGATATATTCTTTCCATAAGAACCTCTGTAGATATAAGGGATAAAGGGTAGCATTATGCAAATCTTATATACCTACAGAAGAACAGTTTTAGAAGACACCAAACTGTATAAGGAGTATTATCTTCCAAATGTCTTCAGGGCAAGGTCTATCCTATTAAATGTACAGCATCTATAAATGCTTATATTTTGGGCAGCAGAACTAAGCCAATTTTCAGATGAGTTGGAAAGGATTCTGAAATCAAGGCAAGTTAAATTTTAAAAAATCAAGACTTAATTATAAATTAGAATAAAATAAGAAAAAGTAAATATAACAGAAAATAAGCTAAGGTTAATTAAAATCTGCATTCAACACACTTTAGTACTAAAGATCAGGAATAAAAAAATGAACTATCTTTCTAAGATGTAAATCAAGAAGTTAAAAAGTTGTAAAAAAAAGTCTGCCTCACTTTTTCTTGAGAAAAGCAAACTGTCACTACATTAAATGATGATTTTCATGCTGGAATCTAACTAAACTAAGTCATAGTAACTTAGCTAATATATTTTTTTTTTGAGTATTTATGCCAAATGGTCCACAATCATCCCACAATCTATATGCTTCATCACATGACAGGATAGAGATGAAACATATGAAGACTGTAAGTGTTATGGTTTGGATATGAGGTGGCCTTTAAAAGCTCCGATGTTAAGGCAGGAACACCCAGAACTGAAATGACTGGACTGTGAGAGCTGTAATGTAATCAGTCCATCATAGTTTGAATGGACTAACTGGGTGGTAACTGCAGGCGGGTGGGTATGGCTGGAGGAGGTGGCCATTGGCGGCAAGCCCTGAAAGGGTTCATCTTTCTTAAATCCCCACCTTGCTTTCTAGTCACCATGGGCTGAGTAGCTTTCCTGTGACAAGCCCTTTGGCCATGATGTTCTTCTGCTTCACGCGCAGCCCAGAGTAAGGGAGTGGCGACCTTATTAAGTCATGAGAACATATAAAAACAAAGGAAACTGAAGAGGAGTCATTAGAGATCAACTGAAGATACAGAAGATAATCATTTTAATATTTTCTCCTAATTAATTAGTTATCTGCAACTCAGTATTTCTCTGGGAGAGAACAGCTATAGTCTCTAACAGAAAAAACCTTTTTGGATTCCACTGAGCAACTTTGCTAGTGTTTCCGCCCCATCTTTCTGTGTACACATATGAGAGTGTACATGAATATACATGGTGTACATGCACACAAACACAGAGCTTCAAATTCTGTAATAAGTCTTCACTATGGAAAAATATAAAACAACACTCCCTGCATAGCTTAAGGGTTCATTTGTCATTTTTTCACTTTTAATAATTTTTTTCCTACAAGATTAAAAATTATTGAATTCAATGAAAAGGAAAACAATCACAGGATCTGTTAGMTTTTATGTTTAGCAGGAGCAACTAGAGCATGTCAGCTCAAGATTTTAGGTGGCAAATTAATAGTTCTTAGGATCATGAGCCAGTTCTCCCACCTTTCTGGACCCTGATTTTCTAAATTGTAAAATAAGTATATTAAAAGATATCAAGATGACCCCATCCAGCCTAAAGAACATGGTTCTATGATCCTATGCATGCTATTTCTAGGTAAAGTGAAAAAGGTTCAAATCAATGATTTGAAAGCTAGGTATAGTAGAGCCCTTTTGGAAATAAGGATTGGCAATTCTCAGTCTAATGTTCTTAATGATATAAAAGCTTATATTCTTGTGAATTATGAAGATACTACTTAAAAAAATCTTCTATTCCTCCTCTTCTCCAATTTACATTTTCATGTATGGCCACACCATGGCTATGTTAAAAAGTGGAACACATGCTGTGCAGTGGCTAACTAGGCTATTCTGCACAACATGTCCCTATTCCTACTGGACATCCCACAATGTTCTAATGAGCTCAACTTTTTTTTTTTAAGGCTGATACTCTATGGCAGTTGAATGGGTGTATATCCATTGCCTTTGGCCCTGCTTCGTTTTCTAGTTACTGATATTACAAAGACTTTGAGAGTCACACGGTGGGAGACTCTTAAACAACAGACTTCTCAATTACAGAAATAATTATCTTGAAATCCCATATGAACAGTTATATAAGAGACAAAGTAAAGATGGGGGATATGGATATAGAAAAAAACAACTGTTTATCATTTGTTTACTCTCTACTAGGATCAGACCAATTAATTTTAGTGCATGCTACGGATATACATCTGGAGTTTTTTTTTCCTACATATTTAATTTACACACAAATGTAAAAGGACAGCTTATTTGAGACTTCATTCAAACACCTAAAAGTGTTATTCATATTTTGTTGAAAACAGTATTATAATGCTTGTAATACAAGTCACAGTTTTTCTTGACAAGTCTAATGACGGCTAGTCCTAATAATAACCATTKAAATAGTTTTTGTTTAAATAGTTTTTTATATTTATAAACAATGTAAGATATATAGTAAGGAGATAAATTTTTAATAATACGATATATAAAATACAGAACTGTCCCAGCACTAGGCTAAATTTCTACAGTTACATGACTCATTTTATCCAGGAAAACGATAATACCAATATACACTGAGATTTACTCTTCAGAACTCACAYTGAAATATCTGTCAAGAACTTTGATCAATGTTCAGTTCATATATTAAGCTTCATTATAAACTACCATCTCATTCTTTAAAAGCATAATTAAAACACCATTTTACCATTTAGCCCATTTTGAAGAAAATGATTTTGTCTATGAAAAAACTTTAAGGGCAAAAGGCTAATTTATTATTAAAATACATTCTAAACAATAAAGCAAAAGCTTCCTTTAATCAATTTTTTCAGCTTAGCAATCTTGCAATGATTTATTTTCAGGATACATATGCTTTTTACAATGCCTTGAATTTCATTCAAATTACTGAATTAAGGAAAAGCAACAACTAGGAATAACGAACACACAGTGACGTAACTCACCTAAATAGGGAATGCAAGGTGTCATCTTTAAACTACTTATATAGTCTCTGAGTCTTTTGTAGTTATCTTCTTTACTCATTACATATTCTAATTTTTCAAAGGTAGTTTTGTCTTTTCGACTTAATAACTAAAAAACAAACAGAAAAGCCTAGGTTATTTACAAGTCCCGTTTTATTGTAGCAAAGATCTGAAGTTGTATTTAGTACAAATTTGGATTTTAATTTCAAAGTTATACTTTCTTTAATTACATTTTGGTAGTATACAAGTAAAACAAAATCAGGCATGTCTATTAATAACTCAAAATTATTTGAAAATATCCTTTGTATGTACATAAAATTATAAACTAAGTAGTAAATTATAGTACATTATTTCTATCTTTGCTATTCTAAATGACACAGCAATCTTGGATCACTTTCCTAATTTAAAAGATGTATTTATATTCATCTCAAATGCCTAAATATTTTAAATGACTACCCCCTCAAAATAATAAGTCATGCGTGCAGAATCATTAAGAGATACTAAATTTTGTAATACAAGTCACAGTTTTTCTTGACAAGTCTAATGATGATGGCTAGTTCTAATAATAACTGTAAAACTTATAATAAATTAAACTCACAATAGTGTTAACTAAAAGGTTCAGAAAAAAATATATTTTTTCCATTCTAAAGATAGGAACAAATTTTTTCCTTAAACATATGAAGTTATTATTTCATTACTATGTAATAAGATTTCACCTTCATTTCATGTCAAAATACTGTTATTTAATTAATTTATTTTTATTTATATATGACAGTGGAATGCGTTACAATTCTTATTACACATATAGAGCATAATTTTTCATATCTCTGGTTGTATACAAAGTATATTAAATACCAATTCGGGTCTTTATACCTGGACTTTGGATAATAATGATCATCACATTCCACCATCATTTCTAACCCCATGCCCCCTCCCTTCTCCTCCAACCCCTCTGCCCTATTCCTCTATTCCTATTCTTCTATTCCTCCCATGCTCCCTTCTCCCTATCCCACTATGAATCAGCCTCCTTATACCAAAGAAAACATTTGACATTTGTTTTGGGGGGATTGGCTAACTTCACTTAGCATTATCAAAATAGAAAATATCGAAGGCATCGACAAATTTCTAGAGTCATATAATTTGCCCAAATTGAATCAGGATGATATACACAATTTAAACAGATCAATTTCAAGTGATGAAATAGCAGATGCCATCAAAAGTCTACCAACCAAGAAAAGCCCAGGACTGGACGAATAAATAGCTGAGTTCTATAAGACCTTTAAAGAAGAACTAATACCAATACTCTTCAACTTATTTCAGGAAATAGAAAAAGAGGCAGGATACTTCCAAACTCATTCTATGAGGCCAATATCACTCTGATTCCAAAACCAGGCAAAGACACATCAAAAAGAAAGGAAGGAAGGAAGGAAGGAAGGAAGGAAGAAAAATTCAGACCAATATCTCTAATGAACATAGATGCAAAAATTCTCAATAAAATTCTGGCAAATCGAATACAAAAACATATCAAAAAGATCATGTATCACGATCAAGTGGGATTCACCCAGGGATGCAAGGTTGGTTTAACATATGGAAATCAGTAAGTATAATTCATCACATCAATAGACTTAAAGATAAAAATCATATGATCATCTCTCAATAGACAAAGAAAAAGCATTTGACAAACTACAGCACAGCTTTGTGTTCAAAACACTAGAAAAACTAGGGATAACAGGAAAATATCTCAACATCATAAAGGCTATCTACACTAAGCACCAGGCCAACATCATTCTAAATGGAGAAAAACTGAAGGCATTCCCTCTAAAAACTGGAACAAGACAGGGATGCCCTCTTTCATCACTTGTATTTAATATAGTTCTTAAAACACTGTTATTTTATATTGTGTAAAACACTTCCACCTATACAATTCTCATCTAATTCTATAAGTTTAACAAGAAAGTCTGAGTATCGGAGATGAGGAGTTTGAGATTCAAAGGTGATCACAGGGTTTGCAAATAGCAGAATATATTAATGTTCTCAGTCATCCACTTATGAAGATGTCTGTTCCTATTTTTCAGGGTCTCAAAGACAGGTTCTAGACATAAAGTATTCTGATACCTAATCCACTACACTTTCTAGTATTACAAATAGTACAGGTGGGATCTTTTTTCATACTCAAAGATGCAGATTAACTGCTAATTATCTCTACCAAAAAAATGAACAGTATCCCTCTTTAAAATATAATTCAAAGAGCCCTTTGCTATAATGTCTTAGATATTCTATGGTCTAAAACAGCAGTTTTACAATCTTCCCCTGGGCCCACCTGAACACACTTTGATTAGCATTCTCCAGATTGGGTGTGAACCCCTGCTTGCTACCATCCTTTTCTCATGCATAACAAGCAGTCAGATACACAAAACAGGGAATATTGTAGAGATGACAATAAACCTATCTTCTTTTTCCTACATCAATTATTCAAAAACTTTGGTACAATATCAAGAGAAATAAGTTACTTTAATTCTTAATTCATCTTGCCACATCTGAAAACTAAAATTATAATAAAGTATATAAATAACATATTTTGCAATTTCAGAATAGATAAATAATTATATTATAGGATTTCATCTGAGATGTGGTAGAATCATTCAAAAGAATAATAAATATAAAGAATTAATTAGGGGCTGGGGTTGTGGCTCAGTGGTAGAGCACTCGCCTAGCATGTGCAAGGCCCTGGGTTCGATCCTCAGCACCACATAAAWATAAAGATATTGTGTCTAATACCTTTATTGTGTCCAATACCTTTTAAAGGTATTTACAACTGAAAAATAAATATTTATTTTAAAAAAAGAATTGATGTTAACATAGGTAATTTCTCTAGTGGTAGTTCAAACTTGATATAACTATGAAGTTTTGATTATTTTATGTTTATTATACTGTCAATTCACTATATTCTCCCCCTCCAGGAGCAAAAAGGGTGGAGAAGGTCAAAGTACTTCCCAATGTTCCACCTCAACATGATTTTGGTTCCATCTTCTTTTGGCCAAGAGTAGGACAGATGGGGGAAAACTCTTCATGCTTTCATTGATGAAAAAGGAGACCACAGATTTCCAGATGTTTCTGGTTAGATCTCTATAACACCTTAAAATCACCATCTGCCTGCTCATGTCAATCACCAATACTTTCAGATTACCCTTCATCCCCTTCATATGCCTTCCCATACAATATGTATGCATGTGTGCATTTGCCTAGGTAAGCATTTTTTTAATCTTGGCCTTGGGTGCAGATTATAATTCTTCAGTTATGAAACTCAATTATCATTTGCCCCTGGTATGACTATGACTCTGTTAGTTTAATTTTTAAGTTTTATAACAAACGTACATGTATCACCTTTCTATATAAGAACTATATACCAGTAACATTAACATTTTGTATTTTATATTCTAGTCTTTCAATCATCTGACAGTGATTTAAAAAAATAATATAGAGGCTTATATTAATTTTTTTCCTCCAAACTGATACCTGCTCCAATTAATAAACAGTCCTTGTTTCCTCACTGATTTACAGTGCTGTCATATGTCAGAGTTCTAAAGCAAGGATTTATTTCTATGATCTTTCTTCTGTTTCATTTGAAGATACACACTGTTCAAATTATACAATAATCTTGAAATTGGTGAGACCAAGTGCCCATGTCCCTAATCCCCATTTTTTTCAGTAATGTCTTGGCTCTTTCTAAATCTGTGCAACTCCATATAATTTTATAACCAATCATTTCTCTCCCCAGAATTATTAGTTTATAAACAAGAAAATAAAATTTTATATATTCAAGGTGTAGAATGTGTTTTGACATGCGTATATTGTAAAATGATTATCAAGCTATTAATATACCCATCACCTCATGTAGTTACCTTTACATATGTATAAGCAAGAACATTTACGATCTTAGCAAATTTAAACTATACAATATAGAATTATTAGCTATAGTCACCTTGTTGTATATTAGATCTCCAAAACTTACTCTACATAACTGCCACTTGGTACCTATTGCCCACCTTCTACTTTCTGCTTCAACTTTAGATTACACACACGAGATACAGTATTTCTCCGAATCTGGTTATTTCACTTAGGATAATGTTCTTCAAGATCATCTAAGCTACTGCAAATGACAGAATTTCCTTCTTTTTAAGGCTGAATGGTATTCCACTATGTACATATATCATATTTTACCCATTCATTCGTTGACCCTTGTTTGCTTTCATATCTTGGCTTTTGTGAATAATGCTGCAATGAACATGCAAAGTGTAGATATCTCTTTGAGATATTGATTTCAGTTCCTTTGCATATATACCTACTAGTTTAATTGCTGGATGCTATGGCAAATTTATTTCAATTCTGAGGCACCTCCATGCTATTTTACCTAATGACTGCCACAACTTGCATTCCCACCAACAGTGTACAAGGGTTCCTTTTTCTCCACACCCTAACATTTATTATCTCTTGTCTCTGATTATCACCATTCTAACATGTATGCAGTGACACACTGTGGTTTTGATGTGCATTTACCCTGATGGTTAGTAATGTTGAGTACTTTCTCATATACCTGCTGGTCATTTATGTCTTTTGAAAAATGTCAATTCAGATCCTTTTGCCCATTTTTATTATTTATTTATTTTTTAGTTATAGATGGACAGCATGCCTTTATTTTATCTGTGTATTTTTTATGTGGTGCTGAAGATGGAACCAAGTGCCTCCCACGCCCAAGGCAAGCACTCTGCCACTGAGCTACAGTCCCAGCCCCCTTTTGCCCATTTTTAAATAGGTTGTTTTCTTCCCCTTGCATTAGATTTTTGGACTATTAACCCCTTAGTAGATGTATGTGCAGCAAACATCCTCTCAATTCTGTAGACTCTCTCTGCACTGTGGATTGTCTTCTTTGCTGTGTAGCAACCTTTTAGTATGATGCAGCTTCATTTGTCTATTTTTGTTTTGGTTGATTATACTTTGTTGCCTAGATAATGATTTTTTGGATATAGGATTATATGGGGTCTTAACATCAATGTTAGGAAGCTTTTCTTCCATCCCCCTGCATGCCCCCCAAGTAGTTTTATAGTTTTA